CAAGACGGATGGAGTGCGCTAATTAATGTTTTCTAGTTTAGATTTGAATAATTCGATTGACTCTGAGTTCACTGTATCATCACTGAGTTTATTCCAGTCGTATACAGTTCGTACAAAGTATGGGTATTTGAATACGTCACTTTTAGCACTAATTGGCTGGAAGCACATGTTGTTGTTACAGACTGGGTTTTCTACGATGTTAGTTTTTACATAGTTTTCAAATTGTTTAGCCCTAATAGTTCTCTCAAGTCGCTTAGCATTGAGGTAGTGATCAGTGTTGATGACTAGTACGTTCCCTTCAACCACCTTAAATAGGAACGTGAAACGCTCCATACTATACTGTACGCGGCTATTAAAAGTAAGAACAGCTGATAAGGTTCTAATAAGTTTATAGTTAGTAGATGTAACTCAAAATAAGAATGATACTTAAACAATTGTAATTACTATATTGTTTAGTTGATTATCACGAGAACAGTAGTTATAATACTTTAAGATGCAGTATGTAAGATTTAGATAAAGAACTAGCCATTCTAGCTATAATAGTTCGAAAATAGATCATGTAAAATGAATAATTAGAAAATTTTATTCAAATAACTCTATTGCGAGCGAAGATATTAGCCATTGAAGGTTTGACAAGACGTGTGCAATAATTTCAACCCCCGTACTGGTTGTTACAAGCTAAATCTCGCTCCATTTTTAGATTAAATCAAAATATGTCTGAACCTTTCTAATCTATTTAATATCGGAGAAACCCAATGCCATCGAGAGTTGATCATACCCCGGATAATGTCTAAATAATAATTTACAAAACATTTTAGGCCTAAAGAAAGACCGGCAACAGACAGATTTAGTTCTTGCATAATGTATGTTTAAATATGCAAATTTCAATATGAAAATGTACAATATCATTATATAAGGATATGGTAGGAAAACATACGAAGTCGTAGAGGGTTTTCTACAAAACGTACATCTACACTGCTTCGTGCACGACAATACCCGTAATTATCATTCACAAAGAGGTCATGTCGCACGTGATGTTAAATGTTAGTATTTAATCAGAATCAAAGAACGTGCTGTATATAATGGATTTATTTTTAATTTTTAAAAAACAATTTATGAAAGATAAATAGCGTTCGAATATATCAATCTTTTCTGTCATGAATTGGGTTGGATGGCCGAATGGTTAGCGTGTGCCTGCTGTGGTTTCGATTCCCCGTTTGTACGTGACCAGGAGTAAGATCGCCTGTCTAACCTCGTGGGTATTCTCCGGGTCCTCCGGTTTCCTCCCACTGCTAAAGACCCCTACGCGCAAGCGAATTATTGAAATAAAATTGAACCATGTCCTAGTCCCGATATGACCTAGTTTGTGTCGAGTGGACGTTAAACTCTCTCTCTCATTCTCTCATGAATTGTTTTATGAGATAATCATTCAGCTAAAACATCACAATTAGTTTGCCATACAACTAGAAAGGTTTGTATTAGGAACTTATCTATAATAATATTAATTACGTTCAATCTTGATTACTTTGACAGTTGTCTGTATAGTAAAATTATTGTTATCATCAAGAAATCCATTTTGTTTATCAGAAAGTCTATTCCAGTCTATGAATCCATAACAACCCCAACCGTATCCGCCAGGTTTATATGTATTATATTCATTATTTTCTCTATTCAAAGACTGTTGTTTATCTTTAATATTAATTAGTGTGAACCTGACGTCAGCCTTACATGATTTAACATCAGCTGTGTCGTCTGTTGTATTTAGTCGTAGGTAAATAGCTAGAGTTGGTACAGTGTTTGTCTCCTCTTTCTTTACAGCTGTAATATACCATGGTAGACCTTGAATATAATGATCTTCACCATATACTCTATCATCTACTTCATCCAAGTTAAAACTAGTTGTAAAAGTTGGTCCGTCTCGATTCTCTAAACTTCCTAGTTGCTTTACTAACAATGTTTTATCAATCACAGATTGTTCAAACCACGTGTATTTCACATCAGGTATATCCAACTTTCTTAAACCGCTCTCCTCCTTTTCCTGTTTAACTTGTGGTATTCTGTTAAAAACCTGGGCAATAGATGTATCTTCTATAACATCCCCGGTACATTTAACACTGGCTTTTAAATCTTCTATTAATATTTCCATCTCTCCCAGAGGTTTGATCATTTTATCTATTTCCTCGTCACGTGACTTTTGAATTTCGGCTTTTATTTCCTCTCCAGCTTGTTTGGCTTCAGAACAGATCTGTTCAATTTGTTGGTCAACGGCATCACATGACGTTTTTGCAGAGTATTCAATATCTGTTTTAATTTTGGTCAACGATTTGCAGAACTTTTCAAATTGACTAATTTGAGTTTCTATATCGTCTTGCAAAACTTTTAGCTCATCTCTGGTTTCAACGTCGATGTTTTCACCATAAAGATCAACAAATTTGTGCGAAATGTGGTTTGTCACAAAACAATCGGAACAAACAGCTGTTGAACAATCTTTACAATAACATCGCACTTCTTTATCATGGTGGTTTGGGCAGATATCTTTAGATTTAGACTCGGCGGTACCCCTACCTGGTGTCTGTAATGCAACCTTAACATCCAAAATCACGTGTCCACGAATTACCTTAAGTCCATCATGAGTTGTTCTACAAGACTTACACAGATATTGTTCACAGTCCTCGCACCTGAACTCAGAATTAACACCAGTTTTACAAACATCGCATGGTGGAACTTCTGTTTTACAAATATCACTAGCCAACTCCTGTTGAACATCTACATTAGAGGCAAAACCCATAACGCCATCAGTAGGGATACTAACAGTATTACGACATAATGGACATGGAAACTGATTGTTAGTAGATACTTTGTTGATATAATCTTCTAAACAGTTCAGACAGAAAGAATGTTGACAGTCGATAATCTTGGGTTGTTGAAATTCGTTTAAACAAATACTGCATACTGGTTTTTCTTGGTCGAAAGTAGCCATGTTGATTGTAAAGTCACCTATCACACGAATAATGTTTCTTGAAACTCGCTAAGTTAAAGTCGCCTTCTCACATGAATAGTACATCTGCAAACTTAAAGGGTTACGGTCGTCAATCACATGAATATTATCCTGTCTTGTCTGTCTCGGTATATTTACATCCAGCGCTTACAAATATATTAATTCACCTCCAAATGTGAGTTATCATGTATAATAAATAGGTCGCTGTTATTACAGTAATAGTGTCCCTGTTTTAATACATATACCACTACCAGATATCACAGAAAGCTTATATACACCTCTATAATGAAACACGATTTGACTTCACACTGTCCTATTATGATATAGATCCTATAGTAACTGAATACGCTTGATTATAAGGAAGGTCATAGTGTACTTACACGTAACATATCACACTCATATACATGTGTATACACCAATATGTCTACATACAAACACTTACTGACGCGTGACACATGATAACCACCACTGTTCAACTTTCAGTTTTAATTCTTGGAAGTAATAATAGGTATTCACAATATCTGATTTAACATTAGTGTATATATTCCTAGAAACGTCTATTTTCAATTTCCATTTAATAGTCTCGCATACCCAGCCAGTCCACATTTAAACAACATATAATATTGAATGAAATGATTGTGTCTCTAATATGACTTTCTAAAGATATCACAAATAATTTCGTTCTTGGTCTGCGCGCTACATAACACGTACGGCGCGTTGTTTTTGTTTTTATTGGATTATTAAAAGTTGAACAGTATTACAAACATGTGTCAGCTCAAATGTTTAGATACATCTGAAATGTGCCTACATATCAATACGTATATTTTATAGTAAATATATTTTGTATATGTCAGTATGCTAGTCTTTTAGTGGTTGGAAACGTGCTGTCGTTGCTTTGAAACATCCATTTCTAACCCACATTCTAATGAACAAGGGGGGGGGGGTGGCGCGAAAGGTTAGCTCGTGTGTCTTGTATCATAAGGTCTGTCAACAAGTCAACTGGCGTTTTTCGATACCCCGGTTGTACGTGACAAGGAGTAGGGTAACCTGTCCAACCTCGTGGGTTTTTTCCGAGTCCCCCGGTTTCTTCCCACTACTGAAGACCCCTATGCACAAGCGAATTAGTGAAATGAAATTAAACCGTATATGTTATTCTCGAAATGATTTAGTCAGTGTCGAGTGGACGTTAAATCCGACCTCTCTCTCTCTCTCTTACGTGCATACCAATGTGTACACGGGACCACGGTTTTTCGTACCACCCGAACGACTGCCCTTGTCAGGCTCCCCGTCCTGCACTACTGAACCCGCGCCCGAACATCACGAGGAACTTTTTAAACTACCACCAGGAGCACACCCGAGACCGTACAACGTACAACCGGGGAATGCAAACAACGCCAGTTGACGCAATGACAGACCTTATGATACAACGCACGCGAGCTTACTATTCGACCATCCAACCCCCTGCATGTAAAAGGACCCTTGACAATTGACATTCAAAATAAGAGTAGTTCGTAGAGCCCCTGTCCGGGGCACAATTTACCCCCATAGCCCATTATGGCGTATGCTCAGAAAAATAGGCCGTTAAACTCCATTTCATTTCTAAATCAGCAATTAAATGACTAAACTTCTTTTTTGATTAAAGTATTTATTACATTATACTTAATAATTTTAGCATCTTTCAATTTAAAATATTTAATAGCATCTTATCTCTATTATTTACATAATAATAAATATTTATTGTAATTTAAATAATTTAATAGAATCTCTAATTATGTACATCATAACAATAAATATTTATTGTAATTTAAATAATTTAATAGAATCTCTAATTATGTACATAACTATAAATATTTATTGTAATTTAAATAATTTAATAGAATCTCTAATTATGTACATCATATCAATAAATATTTATTGTAATTTAAATGATTTAATAGAATCTATATTATGTACATAACAATAAATATTTATTGTAATATAATATCATCTCTATTATGTACATAACAATAAATATTTATTGTAATTTAAGGTTAGCTATCATAAACATCTACAGGTTGTTTCTACTTTTGTGGTTCACTTTCGTCCAGTTTCTGTATATAAAAAGAAGATGTCAATTAAAAATAAACACATGCTGTATTATAAAAAATCTTTATAATAAAACGTTCATCTATGTCAGGAAATTATGAACCATCCTTTCCATGGAACTTTGGAGTCGCGGTGACTCAGGCTCGCTAGGAACATGGGAATCGCGCGACGGCTCAGTAAAGAAAATGTTGGCTCGGGCTCGCAAGGAACATGCCGAGGTCGCGGTGGCTCAGTGAGTGAAACGTTGGTTCACGCTCGATAGGAACATATGATGGTATAGTAGACTGTATGACGTATACCTGTCTTCGTTAGCCCACTCGATGCAGAAAAGTAGGCTGTTTTATTTTCTCTCATGGTTTTTTTTTTTTTTTTTTTTTAATGGTTAGCACGTGTGCGCTGTATCATAAGATCTGTCATTGAGTTAACTGGCGTGGTTTCTATTCCCCGGTTGTACGTGACACGGAGTAGGTAGGGTCGCCTGTCCAACCTCGTGGGTTTTCTCCCGGTCCTCCAGTTTTCTCCTACGCGCAAGCGAATTATTGAAATCAAGTTGAACCATGTGTTAGTCCCGAAATGGCCTACTTGGTGTCGAGTGGGCGTTAAATCCCATCTCTCTCTCTCTATTTGTTAGTGCTGACATTAAGTAAATTTTATGCTTGGACGCATTGGGTGCAAACATAATACATACTTGCATGTGGTCCCGTGTACGTGATTCTAGAACAATCAGGGGAAATAATCCATAATCGAACTCACTCGACAACTCTATGATATAAACATAAGTTTTTTCTAAATCGCAAAGAATTGTGAACTGTAGAGTGTCCACAAACAAATGTTAATGGACGCCCAGACGGACAGGCGCGACGTCATAACACCTCCACATGGAAATAATGGGGTATAAGAATTTCAGTCATATTCTGTTTCTTTATATCCTAAGAATATGCAAATAGAAAGAGATATTGCATACTTTAATGTCAATAATATTATTTCTTAAAATGTCTTTTTGTCTCACCTTATTTGCCATAAACACCTCCGAGGCCTCCCATACCAAGACCTCCCATCATCATAGGGTTGTACATTCCACTCATCATACCAAGTCCACCTCCATACATACCCATACCACCCATCATGTATGGATTGTATCCTCCCATCATACCCATACCTCCCATCATACCAAGTCCACCCATCATTCCCATACCCCCCATCATGTATGGACTGTATCCTCCCATCATACCTAATCCACCCATCATACCTAATCCGCCCATCATACCTAATCCACCCATCATTGGGTCTACTCCAAGAGCAACAGTAGCTAGAGCCAGACAGAGAGCGAGAGATAAGATGGTGTTCATGTTTTGAGTTGATTCTGAAATTTAAAAATTAAATGAAATGAAAAGGGGTTTAACGTCCTACTGCTTTACTCCGATTGGGCTCATCCCATCCGAAAGACTAGACAGTTGTCCTTGCCATGTTCTCCGTCCTACACCACTGACATTTAAAATTAAAAATAAAGGAGATTAGATAAATAAGCAACTTTGGTCTTAGGAGTCGTTTAAATATAACGGGGGCTGATTCGAGTTCGATCATGGGTTGTCAGTGACGTAGGACGGGAGGGAGGGGGTATCGGCTGATAAGGAACAGTGTCTAGTCCTTCGGATGGGACAAAACCCCGAGGCCTGTGTGGCAGTTGGAATTTGATATAAGCGTAGACCGTAGCGCCGCTGTCCGGGCTTTATTGTTAGTATAATTTTAATTTTAACATAATTTTAAAATTACAAAACTGTCCTCTGCCATCCAATTTTCATTTATTTTAAATAAGCTAAATATAAACCCATCGTTGGATATTCAAACATAGGTGAAATTGAGTTTAAAGTCCCGGTACGTCATTTAGCGCAATAAAGGAGAAAGAGAGAGAAATATGGTTTAACGTCCACTCAATAATTCGCCTTCGCGAAACCGGAGGATCTGGCAAAACCCACGAGTTTGGCCAGACGACTTTACTCCTTGTCACGTACAACCACCAGGGAATCGAAACCACGCCAGTTGACTCAATGACAGAACTTATGATACCCCCACCCCACCCCACACACACACCTTTTAGTGCTACAGGAATCAATTTATACAGTATGCTGAAAGATGAATCTTAGTCAAAAATAGTTCGGTTGCGTTCAGTATTTACTTTTTAACGTACTACTGTTTTGCTTCAACTGGGCTAATGAAGACGGCCATACGCCATGCTATGAGGTAAACTTTGCCCTAATCTTATATCGAAATCCAATGGATCCTTTACGTGCACGCCAATGTATACAAGGATCCTCGTACCATCCGAACGACTAGACAACTGTCCTTGTAAGGCCTCCGTATTGCACCACTGACAAGGAGAAACCACGTCGGAAAGTCCCGTTGAACTTTCTCGGCCAATGCAGGGATCGAACATGCGACCTCCAGGCTAGCGAGCCAGCTTCTTACACACTTAGCCCGTGGCTCCCTCTTCTCCGACAGGGCTAATGAAGACGGGCATACGCCATTCATTGTGCTATAATATCGAATTTCAACTGCCACAAGATCTTTTACGGGACCTTGGTTTTTCGCCCATTGTCCCATGTCAAGCCCTCAGTCAAGAACTACGCCAGAAAAAAATCCATATAAACTCTCCCGGCCAACGCTGGTATCGAACACGAGCCCTCCAGCTTAGCGAGCTAACGTCCTACCCACTGAGTCACCACAGCTCCCTTGCGCTAATGAAGACGGGAATCCGAACATAAACAATACATGTACTTATAATAAAAATAGATTCTTTTTACCTGGTGCTTTGATCTGAGATATCTTGTTAAGAATAATTTCTGTTGTGAAGATTTCGTTCAAGTCGTTTGTTTTTATATAATTTCTTCCGTCATGGTTCATCCGACAAAACACGTTCGTAACAGATTTAATTGACAAAATTAATTTAATTAACATTAATAACATGACAACTCAGACAAATGAGATGCTTATAAACTGACACATTTTCTATTCATTACGCCATTCTTATTTATTATTTTAAATAAATGAATGAAGGAATGAATGAATGACCCCAAGGCGGGTCATACACAGTACCATATTAGTGACTTAATGTAATTTGAATTAGATGAGTTGTCGTATTGACCCCTGTATAAGACCCATGTACAGGGAAGTGTAATTAGTATACCAATTAAAGGTAGTATATAAATATAGGTATATTTGATAAGATAAAAAACAGTTTTCTACAAGACACCTTCGTGTAAACATCTACAGGTAAATACTAATTAATAATCTGATTGAAATATGGATCCCATTTCGTTGGTTTTTTTTATAGCTCATAGTTTTGTTTTACTTGTCTTCGCTAGACAAAAGAGAGAGAGAAATGGGGTTTAACGTCCACTCGACACAAACTAGGTCATTTCGGGACTAATATATGGTTTAATTCTATTTCAATAATTCGCTTGCGCGTAGGGGTCTTTAGCAGTGGGAGGAAACCGGAGGACCCGGAGAAAACCCACGAGGTTGGACAGGCGACCCTACTCCTTGTCACGTACAACCGGGGATTCAAAACCACAGTTGATTCAATGACAGACTTTATGATACAGCGCGCGCACGCTTTCTTTTTTCCCTTGTAAAATGTTTATTCACAGAAAGTATATACATTATAATATTAACAGCATTTTATAACATTCTATTCACAGTGAAAAATATTAAATTATGTATATACAGGCAAATCTAATATACAGTGACAGTAATGTACAGTGTACAATAAGAACAAGTATTTTTTGTTATTTATAATATGTATAGAATAAGAGACAAGTATGTATAAAAGAGTAAAAAGAATAAATAAAATATATTATGTACAATTAAAATCTATGCCTGTCATATACGCAATTATAGAAATAGATAATTACAACGTTTTAGGTGCGGCCAGTATCAATGACAATATATGTTTTCGATTACTAGTTATAATTCTAAATGCTACAATTATTACATTATTTGGTGACTTTAAACATAAATGAAAACTATTGTGAGTAAAAGAGATGAATTTAGTTAAGGATTTACAAATAATTTCTTAAAAACAGGTTAACAATATGATTTCTAGTATGAAGGTTTTTGTGTGTTAGATCCACAGTGTCTAACAGAAAAATAAGCTTTAAAATTAAAATATAGTCTTAAAAGTTATAGGAATTAACATATTTGGTGACTTTAAATGATAATAAAGATATTATAGACAAGAAAAATGTTTATACTTAAATAATTGTTAAGAAATTCTGATGAAAAGGTTTGCAATAGCAAATTCTCATGTTAAATTTTTTGGAGGGCTGGATGAACAAGTTTACTATGGGGATATAGGTATCTTTGAACTGGATAGTAAAGGCTTGTGATGCTGACACAGATTGAGTGTTTATGTCTGGATGACGGGTTGTAAAGTGGGTCACAATAATAGTAAACTTGTATCATGATATTATATTTATAATTCAAATAACATGTATATTTTTAAAACAATTGGATAACATAGACAAATAAAAAGTTATATATGATTAGAAAGTTACGGAGAAAATGCTTCAAACAATTTTATTCCATGTTGCAGTTTAAAGAGTTCTGGATGTACTAGTCTACAGAGATTTATGTGGTAGCATTATACCTGGATAAAAGAGACTGTTGAGTATTTATGCAACTAGGTCATTCTCTGCGCAGACGGTGAAGATTCGTCTGCTACTAAAGGTGGCTTGTGGACTGAATTAATCAATTGTAGATACATCAGGTTATACATAATTTAACTTCATTATTTTCTATATATACAAGATTTGGTATACATATTAAATCATTAAATTTCTGTTCTTTTAAATAAAAATATAGGTATTGAAAATGATGTTGTAACATTGTTATAAAAAGTTTGAAAACATTTACAATTTTATCAGTCTTTAGAAACATATTTCTGCGTTTAATTATGGCTAGTCTGGCAAAGGATAGTAGTAGAATTAAAATATTATTCTTTTTATTACCCTTGATAGATTGGACACCGAACAACAATATTTTATTAAAATAGACAGAGCTAAATCCTTCAGGGTAGAAATTAATTAATATAGATTTTAGATTCTTAATAAATTCTGAAACTTTTGGACAATTAAGAAGTAAATGCTGCATATTCTCTATATCACTTAAACAGAGACAACACAGAGGACTATCAATAGTTTTATACTTGAAGAGTTTCTCATTTGTATATATAATGTTATGGGCTATTTTAAAATCATTTTCTATACATTCATTGCTTTTTAAGTAAAAACCTATGGATTTCCATACATTTTTCCAATCAATATCGTAATTAAGCTGATTCCAAAAATTTATGCTAGTGGGTTCTTTATAAAATTTCTTTCTTAAAACATTATAAAAGTGCTTAGATGTACAATTTGTAATTGGTACATAATCATCATTAGTTTGTATATGAAGAATAATATGTTTATCAATCACATGACTCTCTTTATTAATCAAGACAAGCCAGTCATTTGGTAGGCATGAACATATGGTTTTATAATATTTTTCAATCTTAACAATATCAACATCATCATTATTAATGGTAAATAAATCAATTATATGAATTAAAGGGAGCAGACCTGGTATAACACAATAACAAATATCGGAGACTTTTACAATCTTATTGCTAATAAAGATGTCATAATGGAGAGGCTTATTATTATACAATATAAAGGGGTTATCAAACAATGGTTGGTTTAAAATGTCATTATAACTTAATGGTGGTCTCCTCGTATTATTATTAATGTTGTTTCATGCAATTAAGATAGATCTATAGAAGTCTGGTATATGAAGTAAACCACTTGAAATAGGTTTTAATGCAAAAATTTCAATATCTATATTCATGTTGTGGTATGAATTAAGGAAATAAGTAAAAAGGTGCTTTCATACAGCATGAAAAGTAGTATCATTGTATTTCTTTAAAACATTTAATCTGAAAGCATCTTGTCTTAAAACAAGTTTGGGTATATTTAGACCACCTTGATCATATGAACCTATAATGGTGGAACTCTTGACTTGAGGTGTTTTATTAAACCACATAAAATCTTTTATAAATTCTTCAATTTTTTTAATAATATAAGAAGGTATATTCAAGACTCTTAAGGGATACCATAATAAGGACATACATAATGAATTAATGACACAGGATTTTCCCATTAGGGTAAGTTTCCGTTGAGACCACATATTTAGAATTCTTTTAATTTTATTTAGTTTGGTATCCCAGTTTTTATGGTTACATGCATTGGAATTTGATCCTAAGTAAATACCTAATATTTCGATGCATTCATAGATAATTTCAACTTGTACAGGGAGTGAAACATGTTCATTTTTAACAGATCCAGTTGGTAGTAATTGGGATTTTTCGACGTTGATTTTCGCCCCAGAGGCCTTGCAGTATGGTTTTATCTGTGAAAAGGTTGTTATAATAGAATCAGTGTTTGATAGCGTAAGGGTGCAATCATCTGCATGCTGGTATAGGAGGGATGGGGTGGGTGAACCTGGTATACATATTCCTTTTATGCTCGGATTAGATTTTATAAGGGCATTGAGAGGTTCTGCTGTAAGTACGTACAAAAGTGCTGAAAGTGGACAACCCTGTCTGACAGATCTGGTTACCGGGAAAGGGCGAGATATATGGCCGTTTACTTTAACACTACTGTACGTATATATTGGAGTATAGTATTTTAACGTGGTCAATAAAACTATCACCAAAATTAAAATGTTTTAGTACAGTAAAAATATAGGAATGTGAAACTCGATCGAAAGCTTTGAGAGCATCAAGTTTTAAAATGTAACATGGTATATTTTCAAAATCAACATAATTTAAAACATCTCTTATCGAAGCAATATTATCTGAAATATCACGACCAGGAATACATGACTGATCTGGAGAGATAATAGTATTAATAATACTTCTAAGTCTTAAGGCTAAAATTCTAGAGTAAATCTTATAATCAACATTTAATAAATTTATAGGTCTATAATTTTTCAGATTTCTTTTATCACCCTTACCTTTATAAAATAAAGTTATAACACCATGTCTCATAGAGCGAGACAGCGATTTACTAGAAATAATATGATTTAAGATATACAAGAAAATAGGACCTATTATATACACTCCAGAAGTGTAAATACCAGCTTACTGTCAAACCGTCATTACCGGGGGATTTCCCTTTTTGCATACCGTTTAGTGCTATATTTACGCTTCGTGGAGTGTAACAGGTCGGTCACATGACCTACTATTGACTTCGCTTAGTGTACAGTCAACGAGATCACACAGTGTCGTCTGCTCGTGTTTATCGTCTGCTTCAGGATCGGCAGTGTACAATACTTTATAATAATCAGCACATGTATACAAGACATTACTAGAATCATCAATTAAAATATTATCTGAATCATAAATACATTTAATTACATTATTCTCCTGGTTTTTCTTCTCAAGATTTAGAAAGTAAGACGTACATCTATCAGATTCTAAGGCGTTTTTGGATTTCGATCTTAACATGGCTCCTCGACATTTTTTTAGTTTCAAACTCTGATAGTTTACTTTCTAAATCTTGGATTACATTTTGATCAACTAATATACCCTTGGACTGCTTTTCATACAATATTGTTAATTTATTATTTAAATCCCAAAATTCTTTTTTCTCTTTTTGATTTACTTTGCGTGCAAATAAAACTGACTCTTTTTTAATAATATATTTAAGGTTGTCCCACCAAATTAGAGGATATTCTTTGTACAGACTACAGTTTAGTTTATCATTAATTATTTTTTTAATAGTTTCCACATAGTTAATGTTGTTTAAAAGCGTGTTGTTTAAAATCCACATACCAGGACCCCTGTCTACCTCATTTAAATCAAAAAGTAACGATACCAAACTGTGATCGGACAATTTTGTATGAGTTGTCCATATATTTATGGTGTGTGTTTTTAGTGGGTGACTAATCAATATATAATCGATCCTGCTCATTCGTAATGACCCGTTCACAGTTTGTATCCTTGTAAATTGACGCTTTTCTGGATATTTATCACGAAATATGTCACACAGGTTATTTTCTTGTATAAAAGTTTTAAAAATTACAGTAGAACTAACATTTGTATACATATTTTTACCTCTGACTAGTTTAGGATCTATTACATCATTAAAATCACCACATATAACATTCATGCGATTTATATCAATAAAAGAAGAGAGCACGTTATAGAATTCCCCCCTATCTTTATAATTATTAGGGGCGTATATAGAGAATACTGATATGTCTTTATTGTCGCATTGAAAATCTACTCTAATTATTCTACCCTGATTGTCTTTAAATTCTTGCGTAATGGAATTTTTATAGGTGTTTTTGAACAGAATGGCAACCCCCCGTCTTTTATTGTCTTGAAAATTATTAAAAAAGCACGGGCCGTCCCATAAATCGGCAAAAGATCTTATAAACTCATCATCCCAGAATGTATCTTGAATACAGACTATATCATAATTGAAGCTATTCAAATATGCGTAAATGTTTTTAATTTTGAGTAAATCGCGGAATCCATTTACATTGGGAGAAGCTTTTTTAGGCATGTATGAGTTTGCGTTTTGAGGATAACATTTTCATCTTTAAAGCATATAATTTATATTTTAATAATGGAATAGTCTTCTAAGAAATATTTATATTAATTGAAAATATAAAGTCATACTAACTACTAGTGTAAATATTCTTAAGTATATAATAATAATCATTACTCTATCACAGTGGTATAATAGTCTGTAATTGATTAGATTTGTATATAAATAAAAGAGACACTGCACTCTGTACATAATCTGACATGTAGTTTGCGGTGGATATTGGGTCACTTTAAACGACAAGACAGAAGCTGTATAAGCATAGCCTCGCGGTGTTGTCAAAACATAAACAAACAGTCGGTATGTAGTCACGTGATTATTACCTTTATAGTTCCTACAGCGTGCTTTATTATTAAAAGTGCAGGAAATTATAAAGTTGTCCCATAAATAATGATCAAATACTTGATTCTCATCAACGAGAATAATATTTTTACATTTATTGACATACACATACATATTAAAGTAGTTTAAAAGCACAATACATTCAGAAATAGTAGAGTTTATGAGGATATTTTTAGGTAGAGTTTCAGCACCTCTAAGACTATTAATAAAATTATTCCTGTACACTAGACCGTGCCATAGTTTAATAATTTTTAAAATAAATTCGTTGTCCCAGCATAAGGTTATGTTCTGGAGTTTTCTTTGATCTCGTAGACCATTACAATTAACAGAAATTACTTTAATAGAAATTATATAATATAAAGATAGACGGGAAATTATATTTAAAGTACCGTTATAGTTGAAAATCAGATCCGTCTCTCGCGAGTTAAACCCGTTGTTGATTTTACTTCCCCTCTGTGCTGTATAAATAAATCTTGACTGGAAACTGATGGTGGACGTTTTTGTGCATTTTCAGACTGTTGGTCATGTTAGAGATTATATCTAGACTCTCTTCTCCTCGCTAGTTGTTCAAGGCGTAAATTTGAAGCTGGTTTATTATGATGGGTTAGTTGTATTTTACGTCCGCTTCCACCGAGGTGATATCGCAGACAATGACGTGTTATGTGTACAAGGTGCATTAATTTACAATGTGATTAGTGAGAAATAATAGGATGATTAGGTTTTCATATATATGTACATAGGACAATAAACAACAGTAGGATAACATGTGCAAAGGACGAAACAGGTGCCAGTAGACATTTACAAGCATGCGATTTGACGCAACAGACATGGACAAAGACGGACATTTTCACAGACATAGACATATTATGTACATATATATATATTTTGGGTCGTTTGGGTTGGTCTGGTCGTTCTGTCCGGTAGAATGGCAGGGCGGTGCAACTCTACCTTGGGGCTTTGTTGGTGAGTATGAGTCCTGGTCCATTCTTCCTTCCATTTGGGTATGTTGTCCGGTATGGTGGCGTTGTTACATCTTTATTTATGTTATTCATTCCTTTTATTGTTGGTTCTCTGAAGGAAGAATCCAGCACCTGGTTTATTACTGATGTAATTTTTTAAATAGTTCTTTCGTAGGGTTTTATTGTAGTCAAAGGTTGACTTAGCCAATCGCCACTCATCTTATTTATTATTACCTTCGGCCTCATATCTTTCGGTTGTTTCAATATCTATATGCTTGTTCTCAAAAAATTCACTGTTTTTATTGTCACTGACTAATTCGTTGACAGGATCAATTTCAGTTTCGCTCACTCTGGTATCTGTAGTCATTTCATTATTTTCTATAATCATTTCTCTTTCATTGTTTTCACTATCAGTCTCTATCTCCACAGTTTCTTTAACCTGAGTATCGTTCACACCTGTACTTTCATCACACTGACAGCTAACATATCCACAAGTTTTACACTGTATATTAGACTCACACTGACAACTAAATAATCCACAGGTTTCACATTCCTTTTCACTACAATTTCTACGCGTATGTCCTAATTTTTGGCACTTATAACACTTAGAATCTGGACAGTTTTTTACTTCATGGTCACTTTTTAGGCAGTTAAAGCACACTCTCGCTTGATTATCATGCTTGACGTAAAAGGAACGCCCGTCAAAACGAGTGGCGTATGGCAAGCTAGCGACCTCAGGAGGAAATTTAACTTTGACATACCTTGTACCGTCTGCTATGTTCCGCTCTGTAAAATCGTTCTTTTATCTCGCTGACCGGGGTTACATTCCATACTTTTAACTTATCGAGAATTTCTACATCTGATATATAATGGGGAATATTCATAAATGACAATCATTATACGGAATCCAACATAACTCACATTTAAAGTTTCTCCTCCTATAACTAATTCATTCTCCGTCAATCTAGATAGTAAATCCATAGAACTTAAAGTAACTAAAGCAAAATATATAGATCTGTATTTTAATCAAAATGTTTTAATTAATTAATGTACCGGAACTTTAAATACTTGGAATATTAGAATCTGAAGGCAGCGCGTAGAAGGCTTTGTGGGTAGTCGTGGTGACTCAGTGAGTAAGACGCCGGCTTGCCAACCAGAAGGTCTTGGGCTCTTTGGCAGACAAAGTTCTTAGGGATGTTCCGGTGCAGTTTATCCCTTGTCAAAAATCTCGTGTGCACATTGTCGTGCACGTAAAAGTTACTAAAAGAACCCTTGGCAGATGGATTTCGATATAAGAGTTATCGGCGCCGATTTCCGGGCAAAATTTCCCTCATAGCTGAGTCTCATGGTATCCCCGGTGTTCTTGTTCAGTTCTACTCCACTATCCACTATTCACGGGGGAGACAGACTAAGACTAGTAATTAGTGCGAGTTATAAATAGACAATTTTTCCCTTAATTTTTTTCTCCCCTCTTTCTGCATTTTTTGGTTGACTTTTTGGTCTAGAATTGGAGAAAAGGGATCAAATTTGCAATTTCATAGCAGTTTTGGGTAATACTGATGATATTACAGCGGAGGGATAGGGGGTGTAAAGTGTCTTTCTGCAGAGCAATCATTGTGTCGGAAGTGAGATTTTCACCCCAGTCAACTTCAATTCCGCGTAGCAAAAAATCTAAATGGTCCACCCCCTACAAAGTTATGATGATGAGATTGCCAAATGTTGTCCCCATTGTGCCTATAAAGATTGGAACCAACGGAATGTTGAGCAAAAAGCTACAGCCTGTGATGTTACAGCCATTTAACACTGAAGTCAATGGGCAAATAATTGCTAGTCTGAGTCCTCATGGGGGAGACACATAGTCAAGTTGTCCGCCCTTGATACCTATGCTATCAACCAATCAAAAAGTATTATATATAGAAAGCGAGTGGACGAATGTTTTCCTTAGATTATGAGAAAATGAAACTAGCTTGATTCACTTTTCTTGTACCCTCTGTCTCCTCGGATTTAGATCCTTATAATGTTCAGTGGATGCCAAGATAGATTTTATTTTTTAGAAAAAGATATATCTAATTTTTTTTCTAATCGAGGCCGATGAACACCTTTATTTAAAGGAGCTAAATCGCTAACATTTGGGACCTAGAAATTAATAAAAGTGGGTCGCAACGCATATAATACTGTAATATGAATGTATATAAACTGATTTACATTCAATGGTTTCCGTTTTTACTCCAATTTCAAATCAGTTATGTTCGGCGAAATAAGCCAGCAGTCTCAATCGAGTGCAAAATTCTAGCGTCTGGTTATTCCAGTCTACATACGCCGTTCGATTTGGTGCAATGTGTCTAGCCTCGTCCCTCGAGTCTCTTTTTACAACTGGGGCTGAAGCGCATTATGTTACACGATTCGTGTACCAATGGTAAAATGTTTATTTTGTCTTAAATATTGGATATCAAAAGCCCATCTTATTCCTGTAAGATCACAACATCAATGTTGATTTAATTTGACAAATAAATCGTGTTTTCAATGTTGAAGATTTTGGATGATATTCTCTTAGAGACTTAGCTACTTTAAGTTTACGATTTTGTTTTCATTAAATTTCAGCATCAACTCTAAAACATGAACACCATCTTATCTCTCGCTCTCTGTCTGGCTCTAGCCACTGTTGCTCTAGGAGTAAACCCAATGATGGGTGGATTAGGTATGATGGGAGGATACAGTCCATACATGATGGGAGGTATGGGTATGATGGGTGGACTTGGTATGATGGGTGGTATGGGTATGATGGGAGGATACAATCCATACATGATGGGTGGTATGGGTATGTATGGAGCTGGACTTGGTATGATGAGTGGAATGTACAACCCTATGATGATGGGAGGTCTTGGTTTTGGAAAATAAGGTAAGTGAAATAGAAATCCCCAGCTTTGACGACGGCTAATAAAATTAGGATCCAGATTAAGGTTTTCTCGTGGGCGAATATTTCGTTTCGTTTTTTTTATATTTTCGATGGTCTCTACTATTGTAAACCGATTCCCCGGCTGTACGTGGTACGTGGCAAGGGGTAGGGTCGCCTGTCTAACCTCATGGTTTCCTCCCACTGCTAAAAACCCCTGTGCGTAAGCGCATTATTGAAATAGAATTGAACCATATGTTAGTCCCGAAATGACATAGTTTGTGTCGAGTGGACGTTAAACCCAATTCTCTGTCTGTCTCTTTCCAATGTGTACACCGCACCCTCGTTAGTATTACCAGCAGCAAAAACGGTTGAAAGGGGTAAACGTTATTTATTATTTTCAGAGCCTAATTAACAGATAGAAATGACAGATTTATTTACCAAGAATTGTCCACCAGGTTAAGATAGTACCAAAATAGATTTAGTATACTTGTATACTGATGTATAGTGATAGTACCAGAACAGATTTAGTGTAATTGTATACCGATGTATAGTGATAGTACCAGAACAGATTTAGTATACTTGTATACTGATGTATAGTGATAGTACCAGAACAGATTTAGTATAACTGTATCCTGATGTATAGTACACTTTGTATTTGTAATTGTATAAGTACCAGAACAGATTTAGTATAGTATATGTATTTGTAATTGTATAAGTACCAGAACAGATTTAGTATAACTGTATACTGATGTATAGTATAATTTGTAATTGTATAAGTAGTATAATTGTATACTGATGTATAGTTAAAATTGTAATTGTAGAAGTACCAGAATAGACGTAGTGTAATTGTTCCCTAATGTATAGTATAACATGTATTTGTAATTGTATAATTACCCTTGAAATTGTCATTTGTATATTTTTTTAAGGTTGAATTACAATCTGACTACAGCATCGATCATATTCCGTTTCGTTGTTTTTTAACTAGGCGTGCGCGCCCGATGAATAGTAGGGGGTCGGGAGACCTAAAATGCTCGAAAAAAAAAATAATTCCCGTTTATAAACTATATGTATTCTTTATCCCGGAACGATGGCGTGCACGTAAAAGAACCCTTTGAATTTGGGATTCAATATAAACGCACTCTATGGTGCGTCGCCATTAGCCCAGTCCGAGCAGAACAGTAGGACGTTAAACTCCATTTCATTTCATTTCTTAAAAATTACGCCTTTAATTTATAACATGGCGCTCACAGAAAAAATACGTGACGTGCAATCACTTTGAACACTGTAGATAGAATAGAGCCAGTTTTTGCATTCAATATTCTTACGAAATACGAAATCAACAAATAATTTCATCATTTTATTTACTTATTTATTCTGTGGTGAAATACATAATTATAATAAATTAATATCACAGCTTAAGAATGGAATCTGCATAATAAATAATACGAGCGTAGTAGCTTGGTTTTTCTTGCGGACAAAATAATTTTTTAGTAACCATAAAAGTTTCCACCAATTCCAGCTCCGTAATTTGCACCAAACCCTTTTCCAAAATTTCCGAAATTGCCCAATCCGTTTAGTCCATAAGCATTTCCTCCCATAGGGAAACCATAACTGCCTCCTCCTAAACCTTGAAGTCCATAACCTCCATAGCCTTTACCGCCCATGCCAGAAAATCCAATACTGGGAAATCCATAGCCCTTACCGCCCATGCCGGAAATTCCAAATCCCTTACCACCCATGCCCGGAAATCCATAGCCTTTACCACCCATGCCGGAAATTCCAAAGCCATTACCAGCGATGCCCGGAAATCCATAGCCTTTACCACCGATGCCGGAAATTCCAAATCCATTACCAGCCATGCCCGGAAAGCCATAGCCTTTACCACCCATGCCGGAAAATCCATAGCCTTTTCCACCAGTTGGGTATCCAAAACCCTGTCCAAAATTTCCTATACCACCCATGGGGTAACCATTTCCAATACCGCCTTTAATTCCTGCTCCACCAATGAACTGATTCCCATGTCCTTGGAAGGCCAACTGAGAAGGTACAGCAAATACAGCCGAGGCAAGACAAGCTATCAAACTAACTACTTTAATCATCATGTCTCTGAAATTAAAAACAGAAATGTAGGGAAATATAATGAAATGAAATGGGGTTTAACGTCCTACTGTTCTACTCCGAATTGGGCTAATGAAGACGGGCATACGCCATACAGTGTGCTATGAGGGAAATTTTACTTTCGATTTCCAACAGCGGCACTACGGTCCACTCTTATATCGAATTCCAACTGTCAAGGGATCTTTTACGTGCACGTCAATGTGTACACGGGACCTCGGGTTTTCGTCTCATCCGAATGACTAGACAGCTCTCCTTGTCAGGCCCTCCGTCCTGCATCACTGACAAGGAGGAACCACGGCAGAAAATCTGGATGAACTTTCTCGACCAATGATGGCTAGCAAGCCAGCGTCTTACCAACTTAGCCACCGTGACCCCCCGAAATGTAGGTAGCTTCGTTCTCTATGTGTGTGTGTGTGTATGAGGATGGATTTGTATGAGAGAGAGAGAGAGAGAGAGAGAGAGAGAGAGATGGGTTTAGCGTCCACTCGACACAAGCTAGGTCATTTCGGGACTAACATATGGTTCAATTTTATTTCATTAATTCGCTTGCGCGTAGGGGTCTTTAGCAGTGGGAGGAAATCGAAGGACCGAGAGAAAACCCACGGGGTTGGACAGGCAACCCTACTCCTTGACTCAATGACAGATATTATGATACAAGGAGGACGCGCTAACCATTCGGTCATCCAACCCCCTTGACAATAGGAATTCGATGTAAAATCTTCCCTCCTAGTCCTTCTTCATTATCCCGGTTGGTGCAGAAAATTAGCAAGTTATAAGTTTAGATCTTATATTTACCAAGTCCACCTAAACCTAACCCTGACCCTAACCCTAACCCAGAATCTTCGGCAACAATCACGTGCCTTAACCCTGTTTACATCTCGTCATCGTGAGGAAATCTGCAGGTGACCTTGGTAAATAGGTCTGACTCCGGTTCTATCCCATTTCATTTCTGTTAATTTTTAGGACGGCAACATTTAAAATTAAATAGCTCCCTGCTGTATTCTCGCCCCTGTCTCTTTTTTCGTATTCGATTCACGCGGATTTCCTCTTTTAAAAAAAAAATTGAAAATAATTTATTTTTCCTAGTTTTATATCATGGCAGACTAGAACAAAGCAAATAAAAATTTAAAGAAAAAAATTAAACCCCTTTTTTATATCTTTTAAAATCTGATTCAATTTTCTTAAATCTAGGGGAGCGGGAAATACGAGGAGATAATAATTTTGAATTTGAAAATAATTTATTTTCCCAGTTTTATATCCATATTTTTCTCTGATTCAATATTCTTCTGACATAGTAAAAAAAAAACCAAAATAAAAAGTACATAAAAATTTATAAAATAAAAACATATAGTAACTTAAACAATTAAACTGACTATTGGTGATATTAATTAACATAGTAAACAGATATAAAATAAACATAATAATTAATAAAATAAAAACATATAGTAACTTACATATTTATATCTTAGAGATATCCTGACTATTGGTGATATTAATTAACATAGTAAACAGATATAAAATAAACATAATAATTAATAAAATAAAAACATATAGTAACTTACATATTTATATCTTAGAGATATCCTGACTATTGGTGATATTAATTAACGAATCTGACTGTTCAAACATACTTATGATCGTCTTTTATATGAAACCTACACGCCTAATGATTGACAGTCATTTGATTGATTGATTGATTGATGATCCCTCCGCCCTCTTATCGATGATCATGATTTTCCTCCGTATCCGGGATAGGGAAGGACTCTGACGTCATAAATATATATTTTAAACTGTTTAATAAATATTTTGTATGATAATCATATGTTATTTGATTAATCTTATGCATGACTTGATTAAATCCGTTCCATCACCGTAATTAATTACTTGCAATTGGTGTGATTTTCAAATTAATTTATAAATAATAAAAAAAACGTAACGAAAATCAAACTAATTAAGAAATTTGTGTGAAGCGTTTTTGTTTCAGGTGCCATTAAATTGAAATGAAATGAAATGGGGTGTAACGACCTACTGTTCCGCTCCTACTGGGCTAATGAAGACGCCATACAGTGTGCTATGGGGGATTTTCCCTGGGCAGCAGCATTCCGTCCTACTTTTATATAGAATTCCAACTGCCAAGGGATCTTTTATGTGCACGCCAATGTATACGCGGTTCCTCGGTTTTTCGTCCCATCTGAACGATTAGACAGTTGTCCTTGTCGGGCCCTCTGTTCAGCACCACTGACAAGGGGAAACCACGCCGGAAAATTCCGATGATAGAGATAATTCTTTGTTTATTTAAAATATAACAATTGTTTTTAGTATTATTATTATATTATTATTTTATTATTTCAAAATAAAGGCTTCACATGTCATTTAAGTACAAGGTCATTTCGGGATCACGGACTAACGTACGGACGTGGACGATAGCAATATGCGACCACTTCGAAATCAACACAATATGAGAGAGAGTGAGAGAGAAAGAGAGAGAGGGAGAGGGGGGGGGGGTCGAGACCACGACAGCAATATTCAACCACGTGTCATTACACTATGGGCGTATATAAAAATCAATCAAATCAGCTATTTTTCTACATATTAATTATACACGATTTTTTATGCAATAATAATGAATTAATTTTCAAATTACATACTATGTCATCATAATAAAAAATATAGATCGTGTTCGTATCTAATTGGGATGAGGACCACTGATTCAGCATCATCTATCTTAGAATGGGTTTGTTCTGCTCATGTAGCGTGTCTCTTATGTTTAGAATGCATTATATCTATCATATATAACATAAAATACGACATAAATAATGATAAAGATGCATCGCTAGAAGTTTGATTTAAATCCCAGAGAGAGAAATGGGGTTTAACGTCCACTCGACACAAACTAGGTCATTTCGGGACTAACATGGTTTAATTTTATTTCAATAATTCGCTTGCGCGTAGGGGTCTTTAGCAGTGGGAGGAAACCGGAGGACCCGGAGAAAACCCACGAGGTTGGACAGGCGACCCTACTCCTTGCCATGTACAACAGGGGATTCGAAACCACGCCAGTTGACTCAATGAAAGACTTTATGATACAGCGCGCACACGCTAACCATTCAGCCATCCAACCCCCCATGCATCACTAGAAGCTTGATTTAAATCCCAGAAAAGTAAGGTATAATACTTATATGTTGTAGATATTAATAGACTGTTTGAATAATGTCTCCCATGAAATGCACCAACTTGGCTAATAAAGACGGGCATACCCCATACAGTGTGCTATGAAGGAAATTTTGCCAGGACAGTAACACAGCAGCCTACGCTTATTTTGAATTCAAACTGTCATGGTTCCAATGTGCTAACAGGACCTCGGTTTTTCATCCTATCCGAACAACTAGACACTTTGTATGCTAAGCCCTCCTACTTGCACCATGTTCAGTGGTGTAACAGAACTACAATGCCAGGCCCTCCCTCCTACCTGCACCATGTTCAGTGGTGTAACAGAACTACAATGCCAGGCCCGCCCTCCTACCTGCATCATGTTCAGTGGTGTAACAGAACTACAATGCCAGGCCTGCCCTCCTACCTGCACCATGTTCAGTGGTGTAACAGAACTACAATGCCAGGCCCGCCCTCCTACCTGCACCATGTTCAGTGGTGTAACATAACTACAATGCCAGGCCCGCCCTCCTACCTGCACCATGTCCAGTGGTGTAGCAGAACTACAATGGGGTTGAAAGCCCTACTTCTCTGCATCTAATAAGCTAAAGAAGACATGAAATGAAATGAAATGAAATGAAATGAAATGGGGTTTAACATACTACTGTTCTGCTCCAAACTGGGCTAATGAAGACGAGC